TGTGCATCTTAGCTAAAATCAGACAAGACAAGACAAGAAATGTACAAGCATCAACCACAGGAAACTGCATCAAATGTAACAAAGAAAATAAGATTTAGTCTTCGTGTAGTATCAATAGTTGCCTTCTCTATATATCATACAGTATCATATTACCGCTCTCTAATTGCTGCATATCATACTAACTTTCTATTGTAGTTCTTGTTCCTGTCACAACAAATTAAAACACCTGGGATTTCCGATCGCATGCTGGCAGGTACTACACTAATTACTCCGTGCAACATCGCTAGGTTGTATGAGAGAGCGTTTGGTATCACAAAAAAAAAATCACGCGAGAGATTTACACGATGGAACACATTAGTCATACATTTGTTAAACTAACCCCGCTGAGGCGAGGACGAATAAATCCTTCAAATATATGTTGATTTCACGCAATTAAATGTAGATCAATCTATTCAAGAGAAAGCATTGCAACTAATAAAGCGCTACGACTGACGTAAATCTATTAAGAAAATCACTAAAACGAAATATTCGGGATAATTACCATTGTATTAATGTATTCATTCCTGAGTGATCTGAATTTATAGATACATACCAGATTAAATTGGGTGTTATTCTAACTTGTAATGAAACGTGCAGGTGCAGACACCATGTTCATCACAATGCATGAGTAATTTGAGCGTCCATAATATATACTATGTACACGAGGTAATCAAATAATAAAGGTCTACGTGCGCTTGGCGATTTATTAAAGCGGCGGAGGGGTCATCACCTGCGAATGCGCAAGAATTGAGCCCTAAGCGACGATAGCAACGCACGCTAAAAACGCAAAGGCTCATGGATAGACCTTTGTTTGCAAAAAACCGACACGCTATGGCTCGTTAACGCATGCGCAGGTAACGACTTCCCTGCTTTAATTACCGTTTATGGGACTAACTTGAATTAAACTCAAATATCTCAAAATATTCAATTGTACGCTAACAATGTACTTCTTTTAAATTGGTGAATAACACTTTCTATATTATGCGTAAAAACCTGTCAAGCATTACTCGGTAATTAGCATATCTGGCATATTGCCATAATATAGTTCGTAAACCTTCACTGCATGTTCCAGCAAAGTATAACATGATGTCGAATCATTTTATTCCTGTCATCTCGTCGTCTAAACTGTGACATTCAGCTCTACTAATCGCCAACAATTATCGATCATTTACCTTGTGTGTCGTCGTTGTCAAGCCTTTTGAGTAGGAAAATTAAAATACCTGTCTTGTATGACGCAGAGTTCCCTGTGGAATCTTATGGTTTGTACACCTATGATGTGATTGGGAATATTTTCATGTAACTTGATCTAAGCAACATATTAGCGTATCCGGTTCCGTCTAGTTTTCAGGCGAACGTTCGGCTAAAATTATTAAATCTGTTTCATATCCTTATATATAGCATGCCATTCTGAAAAGATATTTCCGAATAACTTGCAAAGCATTCGACGCTGGCTTAGTGCCAGTGTGCTGGCTGTCAACAATCGAAATCACGAACACCTCAATTCGAATTGCTATTCTGTTTACATTGCGGAATTTTATAAAAAAACAAGTCCGTACCGAGAGTGTGTACAATAGCCGTGTGCGGTGACTGTGGTCACTGCAGAGAACATCGTGTGATGTATTCATGGCCAGCACCGAGACGATGCTAGATTCTCCTATACAATAAAGACTATAAATGTTCATTGTAATGAATGGCGCAGAACGGCCAACCAGATCTTCACTTTAATGCAGATGATGGGGACCTAATCACAAACACTAGAACATAAAAGAGTGGTAACGATATTGTGGGCGGTAATATGTGGATGATGATAGATGGAACATTGATGAAACTATGAGAGTTAACAAACACATTAATAGAATATACTCAACTGTTTTACGATCTACCATACTGTATGGCAGCGATACGATAAGTTTTTGCAATTGTTCCATAATTGCTCTTATTTTCTAGACTGGAAATATGTATCTCTAATAACTTGAGTGACTTGCTAAATTTAAGATATGAAAATAACTTGCTTTTGTTACATTTATTATAACTAATAAAACAGTATCTCACAAAATGTACTATTGAACCATGATTGTATTTCAAAATTGAATGCTGTTTATAATATTGAAATGAACAGATAGAGGATGAGTGTGTACAAGCTCAAGACAAACTCTATTGGTGTAATAGTTTATTTGGTATTATACGAATACCGTGGTGAACATTTAGTCAATATATCCGGTTTGATATACATTCACCTTTGTAATCTACTATTGTTGTTTCAGAAGCGCATACAATGTGTTACTAGAATACACAACTGCGCATACAAATTGGTACATAATTGTACAATGATATATTTTATACATGTTTCGAACTATGGCACTATGGCAGCTTCATTAGCCAATTGTCAGCAAAGGGACTATCGATCCATACACGTCATATCGATACAACCGGAGATTGTGTATTTACATGGCTACTTATTAAAATTGCAAGTGTCTGGTTTATGCTTGGACATACAGTTACGATATGTTTATGGCAATTTGCATGTTATCAACAACTTGCCATTCCTCAAAAACACATGGAATTACTTTCGTTATGTAGAATGTGTATTATTAACACATCAATTTATATACAGTTTCTGTCCTATTTTGTATTTTGTGTACGATTCGACGTATACAACACTTGCAAAAAAACCCGAATAGGTTAAGTAATGAGAGAAAATACGAATAGCGTAGAGTTATATACGCTGGAACATTGGTATGTACATTGTTATACGGTATCATAACGGTGCTGGCATACATACTGTAACTTTTAGTGCGACCAAGGAAACAAATCATAACTACACAGGGGCGCTGAACTGCAAGGTATGTAGGTATAGGTATAATCATGTGCTATTAATGCATACAGAATTTGCAAAATATAACATGCATACGTTTGCATATTCATATAGCACAAACTTACACAACGGTCTAGCGAAAGCAATTATTATATCAACATCTACAGTCAATTCCCTGTTCAACAAAACTAGATAATTACCGGTCAAAGGCTTGACAGCGCGAGTAGCCAATCAACGAATGCGGTACGTTAATACAGACAGACCATGGTGTTACTGGCCGTAAATTCTCAAAATATGTGACATCTGAACTGCATCTTTCCCAACAGAGATTATGTTAAAGTGCGCCTTCTTTGGCAATTGGACGACCCGACATTTTGTGTTATCTTTGCATGTAGACCACGCCAGTTCCGATCGGCGTATGTTTTATAGGCGCTTTCAGTGATATCTATATTTCCGGGGTCCTGAAATGCATATTCTGCTTTCACGCTTTCGGCAACTTGGAGAATGTAGTTTTGAAAAATACATGGCAGGCGCGAATATATTCGCCAGGATCTCGTTACAAGCGATTGAGCCAGATAACTTGTTATGTCCCCTGCCCCAATGGTGTCTAACATGCCGTCATTGCGTTCGCTCTTCTTAATACCTGTTACCGGGGAATAATGCGAGAATGGCGAGTAATAATGAGACACAATTTGATGACTAAGTATCGTGGCATTCACACTCTCGGCGAGATATCTACCGCCATTTACGTCTAGAAACTATTTGTGAAGGTTTTCGTCGATGACTTGTTGGGCTTAATATAATAGCGATTTGGTCCACCTTTGCTTTATTATTCTGTATTCAGTTTTCCTTGTTATTTTTCACTTGTTGCGTAACGAAATTGTACCTCTGTCAAAATACCTCATGATTTTCTTTGACCTCATGACTTTCTTTGAGTGTGATAACAAGCCAACAATTATTTTTTTTTAACTGATTTGCTCCGCTGAATTGCAGGGACATGTACTTCTCTAAACTGGTCCAGCTGTGATGATTTGTTTTTCAGTTAAATGATAATAGTAATAGTAATAATAATAATAGTAATAATAATAGTAAGGACACGCTTGCATGCCAGTAGCGAAAAAAAAAGAACGAGTCATTATACTGGCCCGATCGAGTTGAATCACGCCCGTGACGTAAAATCGCCCGGTCGGCGCGATATCTAAAAAAAGGCTTATGTATCAATACAAGTTTAGGCAGCATTTGACAACCACCGTGTTCTGTGAAGCTCCTTATCCGAGTCGTGTTTTACAGTCCATCAAACCAAGTTCAGACTGAGAACCAAGCGATCACGTGTCTTCGCCTTGAATTCAGAACAAGCTAACGCGATCATGTTCTCGTCTTGCATCACACACCCTAGATCATGACATCCCTTGGGCCGCCGTAAATAGAACATTTTCGATTTGTTGTCCCCCTCCCAATTTTGGCCTTTTAAAACTGAATATACTTACAAAAAGAACTGTAAAGAGAAATCAATAACAATGATTTTTGAAAAAAATCATTATTTTCAGTAAATTCGTTACAAAACTGAAGATTTCTTTTTCGGCTAACTTTGAACCACGGTTAATAAAGACTGGGTGAGCCGATACGTTAGAAATTTTAACATCTTGTTCAAATGAACCACACGCACAGAAATGTGTCTGCGCTTTTAGACAATTATTTGGTCACGAGTTATTCACGTTATTCACTTTAGACTTTCCATGGACTATCGGCTGCCAATGCAGCGTCAAATACATAAACACCCGTTGTTTAAACCATTCAGGGCGTAAATCGGAATTTTCATTTCGAAGTCAAGGTTTAGAGTGACAAAAATATTAAATGCGTCTTTTTTGGGGAAAACGGATAAATCGTTGGAAATTTTCAAAACCTTTTTTTCACGTCACCAATTTTGAACGCATATCTAATGATATAAATACAAACTGTCCGCAAAGAATGTTATTGTTAGCTAGAAAAAAAGAGTTAAAAGGGGAGGCCACGAACGTGAGTCGCTACCTTAATCAAAAGCTTGTTTGGTGTATCATGCTTGTCTCAATTCAATACTGCGCATGCGTATATATTTTCTTCAGTATATAATACTGTCTACTTTTCAGAGCTCAACATGTGCGCAGCCATGACCGAACCATCGTTTTCGGAACCAGAACCAATGTCGGAATTGCAGGCCGAGCCAGAGCCGCTCAGCAACGGATCATCATTAGCCGAACCATCCATGGAAGTAGGCGTCCAAGTTTTTCTTGTCATAATAGCCGTTATCATCGTGATTGTTGGCATTGTTGGTAACGTTCTTGTCATCGTTGTTATGGGTAGTATAAAAACCGGTAAGGACATCATTGACATTATACACAATATATTTAAGTTATAGTTCACGATGTATCAAAGATACAAGAGCAATATGACAGGAATAATCCAACCGATTTCGTATGTTTTGACGGACGTTTCGGCCTGGAGTGTTTCGGCCAAATTTTACGATCTTCAGTACTTGAAATGAGCGTTACAAGTAAAGCCATGCAGAAATATCTCCCAACCAGATGATGCAAACAGAGATGGTAACATGCCAGAAAGCAACGTCCCCCCCCACTTTTATTGTTAATATCCGCGATGGACATAAGAGGACATAATGATTTTCTTTCATTGTGAAATTCACACCTATTGTTATATGTGTTGATATCAATTATCTCATAACAATACGTGTGGGTGGTATAGGCTTGCTTGAAGATGTATAGAAGAAGATAACAATAAGTGTTGACAGTATAGGTTTGCTCACAGAAATTAATGAGCTGACTAAAAAAAATGGTGTTGTCAAAGATAATGACGTGAATACAACAAGGGTTCGTGTTTTGATACAATGGATCACAGTGATTGCACTGTCGTGTTACTTCGCTTTATTCTGGAGTGGAAAATTAGTGATTTTTTGGCCAGTAGACGAAACACGTTGAGTGTCGCACCATTTTACATGGGCATTTAGATATCCATTGTTTTTTTTTAATTGTACATATTTACATTTGTAAATATTTAATACATAGTCTATTACGTGATGTCAGCATTCAGTTGTTTACAGAAATATTTAATACATGGTCTATTACGTGATATCAGCATTCAGTTGTTTACAGAAATATTTAATACATGGTCTATTACGTGATGTCAGCATACAGTTGTTTACAGAAATATTTAAAAAATAGTCTATTACGTGATGTCAGCATACAGTTGTTTACAGAAATATTTAATACATGGTCTATTACGTGATGTCAGCATTCAGTTGTTTACAGAAATATTTAATAAATAGTCTGTTATGTGAAAGTGTGAAATAGTTGATGCAATGAACAAACTTGAACGGCAGTTACAACCAACCGACACATGTCGTCGTTATAGGGCGCGAGTTATTAGAAAAAAACGTAGGGACATTCATACCAAATGGTAGTATTTAAACTTATTCGATTTGTTTATTCCACAGGTCGGACCGTTACTGACATATTTTTGGCATCGCTTGCCGTGGCTGATGTAATAGTGTGTGTCGTGTGTGTACCTCTATTGATCGTCGGGATAACAACCCACGAAGGCCATACAGGGTTATCCTACAACGTCGAACAGTTTTTATTTTACTTCGCCACGATGTCGTCAATTCTCAATCTCACCACGATCGCCGTTGATCGACACGACGCCGTCCTTCACCCACTGTCAAGAAAAATCACAATCGATCGCTCAAAAGCCATCTTATCGATTATATGGGTTGCATCCATTCTGATTGCCGTGGTAATTTTTACCATTCCGGACCAATATGAGATGGTGATACTGTTCCCTGGTTTTGCCATCCCTGTCACTATCATGTGCGTCTGCTACATTCGTATCGTGAAAACGGCTCGCATTGCAGGGCAGAAAGCTTTACCCGCAAATCAAACAAAGCCGAAGAGTGACAAGACATTGAGGATGGTATTAATAGTCATTATTGTCTTCATCATTTCCTGGATCCCATCTTTAGTCAGCCGACTTTTAAAGTATATTGTTGACATGTCGCCCTCTAGCTTGAGCCATCTTGAAGTGTCTGCCTGTATGGTGGCCTACGCTGCTAGTGCTGTTAACTTTATCGTGTACGCAATGATGAGCCATCGGTTCAAAAGAAATATTCTGCAGGTGGGTAGTTGGTCAAAAGTTATATCCTTAAAATAGTTATGTATGTGATTTAATTGTTATTTTTACTTTTTTGTATTTTGTATGCGCATATGATTATTTGACGTTGATTATTTTGTTTTCATTATTTTTTTTAATAATTTGTATGTTTATATTGTTGAGTTTTTGTTACATGTATGGTTACCGTATAATTGCACATTTACCAGAAGGTCATACGAAAAGCCATCAAAACCCTGATTATACAGTAGGTGAAAATTGAAGTGCTCAAACTGTGTTAGCGTCCCAATGTCATGTACATCTGCACCACCCCGTCTACCATTCTGCACGTCTTTGTGTCGGTTTTTCTTTGTGGCCAATACACACACACATACGAACATGGTTAATTAATTTTGTTGTCTGTATTGGTATATATTATTTTTTTAGTCCAAAGTTTCTGTTCTGATAATGTATAATATAGCAATGTCAATATGGTTATAATTTTTTAAATAATTGTGGAAATGTGTATACATGTATATATGAATAAACAATACACTAAATAAAGCAATCGCAGTGATTATTGCGACGATAGTAGACTTCTAAGTTGTGTATGACAGGAGTTAACTTCAGGTTACGTTATTCTTGATACACCTTCCCAATAAATGGCGCCCTCGCGACGAAACGATCTCAAGGCATACTCTGCTCACCTGAATTTCAATGCTGAAGGTAAATGAAGCAGGGAAGCAGACTATCGCGCAAAGATTTGAAATGGAAGGTTTACTATTATTAGAGGAATTTCCCCAAAAAGTATCTATTATTTAACATAACTGGTATATTTCATGAAATGAACCAAGATTCCGTAGTACACTTACTCTCTTCTGTGCTCGGTTATTTCGTAAATAGGTGCTACATGGTCATGGATTTGGTGAGTTGAGATTGATGCTTAAAGACAATTATTGAAAAAATAGTTAATTGGGATAATGATTATTGCTACACATACACCAGAGATCGGCAACGTCGTGATAGAAAACAAAACCATATTTATTGCCAAGTATCAGGACAGAATTGAGTGCCAAAGTAGCAAAGTTGATAATGCCAAACTCTTTTGTTTGTTTTTGTGATGAAGGAAAAACTATCTCCTATGTATAGCCGACACTTGATATCATCACTAAAGCTTCCATCACATTGGAAGGGCGGTGGTCGTCGCGCCGCGCACGTGCAACATTTGTGTTGATAAACATTGATTTTCCCCATAATCCAATGCGCCCCTTCTAATGGAAACCACGAGTGCGATACCTTCAAATCACCAACGAAATTACATAGTTAAAGCTTGGTAATTTCTCAGTTTGTACTCGATGGTCAACGTCGTCATCTTTGTTCATAGGAGACTGTATATCTCGCGCATGCGTTGCACAAAGACTTGTGTATTAGTGCTATTATGTAAAATATGAGAAAATATAATTATGGGTATCTGTAAATATAACAAACATTCGGACACGCTGAAATCATGAAAATATGAACGTTTATGTCATATTTCGCGCATTATGTGGTTATTCGATCGAATCTTCACACCATGTGCACAGTACCGCCAATTTACATGATTAATCTCAGTCAGCAATTTAAGTAAACCAGAATGTTACTGACAGGCGTTTACATTTTTTTTCAGCGTTTTGGACTGCAGCATTTATTGGCTGAAAAGGGAAAAAATGAGGCTACAATAGGTGTCACCGCCATTTCACGTTTTGAAAACAAAGTACAACCCATGCACTCCAATGTGTCGATGTGCAGAGACGATAACCAGCCAAGTAAATAGGACAATGAGTTTAATAATAAACACAACCCCATGATATACATTGTGTTACAACAATTGTAGTAATTTGTTACGCTTTGTTCAGTAATTTGAAGGAAATATGGTGTAGTAACAGTCAATCAACCAACTGAAGCCATGCTTGACTGAACATTGGTAACTGATGAATTGCATGCCCGACTGGAAGCTGGATAATAATATTTTTTTGCCATGTGCACCAACCCGACTCTATTGACATTGGTACAATTCAGTGAAAATGCTTATTGAGGAAATAGATGGTTTTCCGCTAATACGAAATATCGCATATTGTACGAAGAACGCGCACCGATCGACTACCGCAAAAATATAACGATTTGTATTTGAACTTGAATTTCCTTTTTTAGAGCTCTATGTCAAAATGCCGATTTTTCAAAGAAGAATAATGCGTTGAGATACCCTTACTTCATCAGAATACACCTGTCAACGTAACGTCATAAGTGCCGTAATTTTACGGTATTTTATAGGGTATTTTCATCCTACCATATTAGGAAATGTGAATTCCAAACATGGAACGATTACGCGCGTAACATAGAAGTTCGCTGATTCGGGTCTAAACACTCTGGATTTCGTTATTCCCACGTGTCATTGGTAGAAAAAGATGTATACTAATAAGATTATTTTATGCGATATACTAATGTAAGTTTTCCTACTTATATCTTTACACGATTTGTATGGCACATCTCCGATGTAAAACACGTCTTTATGCAGGAACAATGGCCCAGTATATATCGACATTGTACTTTCGTCATTTGCTTTGAATGGTAACTTCCGCTTTATAGATTGCAACTTAATTATCACGATTGAATGTAATGTAAAATCTACTTATAATGACGTCATCAGATCTGTCAGTATGTTTGTAGTTATCGATTAATTTTGTAATATCTTTTCTAAAAAGTATTTGTTTTGTGATTTTCATAAAAGCGGTGTACAATACACCACACTCAGCTTTTGTGTGTCTCAAAATGGAACACGCCAGCTCGTGATGACGAAGATGCAACGTTATTATAATTTAAAAGCGAATCACGTGAATGTCGCGGCGTGCATTAAATATCGATGATACACTAGCCAATATAATCGTATTTTCAAATAGCGTTGCGGACGGCAGTAAAACGTTTGTAATACATCCTTCGTACTGAAATAAAGGGAAGTTACCATATTATTAATTGCACCTAATTCAAAATATATTGAAGCAAAATACTAATTATCGTTTCATGTTATAATAGTGTTTGAGTTTGATGAGATTGTCACGCTCATCTGGTGTCATCAAACCATTTTATCGAACCATTTAAATCCATATAACCTCTTTCTTCCCCAATATAAGAATTTTAAAATTTGTTACCATTTAGCACTTTTCTTGAAGTATCTAATGTCCACTTCTGATTTCTTAAAACTCTGCTTTTGTCATACCACCTACCTCCGTAGACGAAGACATAGACATCTATTGTCTTACATATTAGGTGAGACTACTCATACAAAATTTGTAATATTACAAAATCTGGACAAGTGGTACAATGATATAATATTATGATAATATTTTCACTTTGTGCATTACATATGATGCCCTTAATTAACGAGGGTTACTGCGCCCTCGCCGATAGATTCGAAAGCCGATAGATTCGAAAGCAGATTGTCTACTATCGGAGAGGGCGCATATCCCACCAATCAAATCGGGCATGTTGGGTTCAAACATAGGCTTTGGTGTCGGTTGCCTAATCAAGTGATTGAATCGACCATGAGTTTTAACTATCTTAGTCATAAAATAACACCGGACATAGATGACAACGTAGATATAATACCACCAGAAACATTTTTTGTGTCAAGAGAAAACCTACTGCTTAGATAATTTGGGAACTGTACCTATGCTGTAAAAAAACCCTGCTATTTAAGATATTCTGTTACAATATCTACGGTTGTCAACTTTGTAGTGCATTCAACAAACGCCATTGAACTCTCTGAAGACGCAGACTACAGTGAGAGAGGTATGTTCTCGTCTAATGAAGTGAAGTCTTTTTTTCGAGCTTTATAAAAAAAAAGTATTTTTGAATTCAGAGAGCGTGAGAGCTTGACAGTTAAGTATATTGTCCAGATTATGGAATATTGATGTGCACTGGAGATCTTCTTTACTACAGAACTTGAATACTAGGAACACGTTATATTGATATTGTGGATGTAATCGCATCATATTTAGAACTATTGTCTATACGTATCGGGTTATTCCTTTCAGTTGTATGATTTCTTTATTGATATAAACTATGGTTTCTAACAAATAGTAATAATAATATAAGCACTGAGACTTTAATTTACTCCTATTCAATATTTTTAATTTAAAACTGAAATGATTGACGTTAAACAATGTCCAAATGTACGTATATTATTGTACACATTGAATGTATACAAATACTATTATAATGTCATTATTTATATATTTTAGGTCGTTATTATTATGTCATTATTCACTTAATATGTCGATTTCGAACATGCTCATCATGGTTAAAAAACAATTGGAATTACGTCACAATGCATCGAAGATTATAAAATGACACACCCCTTATGATATGATGGATTTGAAATCACCGAATTTTTACCACAGCTAAATAACTGAAAATAATATGTGAAAATTATCTTATTTTAGTTTGGTTGCGCGTTGACCATCTGCTTTATCACCAAGAAACACCATGGCAGGCGCAGTAATTCCATATGTAATGTAATATGTGTGTGATGTGTCCCGCCAAACGTTGCTTGGTCATACCATGGCCCAATTTTAAAACCAATGAATTAATATGAAACTAGTGTTAACTCCTGACGATGGCCAACAAATTACAAACGATACAAGTTTACGTGCACTGTAAGACACGATTCAACACGACGACAGTTTCAAAGCCTGGAACCATTTTACTTTGTCTAATAAATGACGAGCATCCGGGGTATTGCAAGAAATGAAAATATTTGGCTTGTGTGCATTTTATGAAAAAGGAATGAAAGCCTGAAAGTTGTGATTTTTAATCGGACATGTAATTTGCGGAGAAAATCACCAAACAGACCCACCAGACATTTAATTTGTAATGATATGGATTGAATTTACCACATTAGACATTTGCAAGGATAAGATGGATTTGAAATCACCGAATTTTCACCACAGCTAAATAACTGAAAATAATATGCAAAAATTAATTGTGATTCACAGAGACATGTAATATATGATATTTGAATCCACCAAACAGGTACATCAAACATGTACATTACAATATTAGAATTAGTTGTAGCACTTTAGTGCAAGTAACTGAAACTGTTGAACGTTGAATGATCGTAATACTGAAACAAAAAATTAAACAACATGACCGCGTCATTTTTTTCTGAAACGAGAAGCAGGATCTTTTAAATGCCGTTGCAATACACGTGTATTTAATACGACGCTCACTGATTTAAGACACTGTGAACGATATGTATATATATATATGCGAAGTATTGCAAATGTCTATTTTACGTTTTTTATTATATGCTCCCGGGACATGTACACTCTGCGATAGCAGTGACTTCATTTTAATTGCGTTTCGATCAATGCTTATTTAGGCAATTCTTCTTCTAAATAATTGCTTGTCACAATTAAACAGCTACAATAAAGTTTGCAAATGAATAATTACATTAGTTTGACCTGTC